ACCAGGACCACACCCCAAAATGCATTGAAGCAACTGCCATGTGATTGGTTGATTAGATAATTGCATTAATGAGAAATTGAACAGGTGTTCCTAATAATCCTTTAGGTGAGTGGATATCCCAGGTACTCAAGGGAACACTCAGATAATGTCCAATTGAAAACATAATAATAGCAAACTCAGAAATGTTTTTTTTTTATTATTATTTCATTGACAAAACAGCTTCCTTTTTGCACCACAGATGAAAGAACTCAAAATTTAAAATGAAAAATGAGAACTTAAGTGCTTCACTCTGCAACAACTTAAAATCCTTAAGCGCAAATAGTCTTGAATAGACCTTGTAATTATTTTCTTTCGACACAAGTGATCAAGTGTTGGCTCTAATGACAATTCATTGCAATGTCTGGAAAAAAATATTCCTCCTTGTGCACGCACAAGTTATCACGCAGACATTATGGGGAAAGAATTTCTTGTTTTTTCAAAATACAAAAATACTGAACCTCAAAATATTTTTAAAGTAATCAATTTTATGAAGTAAGTCAAATACAAATTACAAAATACAAGTTTGGATTTAAAATACTCATACTCAGAAATACTGCACATCCCTGCATGTCAACCGAGTGTGGCCGAGCTGCTAGCAGTGTTCGGATGTTACACATGTAGCGGGTAATTATTACGGTATTTCCCCTATCGTTCTTGTGGCGTCTGTCACTTACTGTACCCGCCTGCCCCTTTCGCGGTGCATCGAAGTGTTGATAGTGATCTGCGAGTGAACCTTCACTCGCAGGGTGTGGATTGAGGACGGCTCTCCTGTTCAGTCATGGTCACGTTCAGCCATGGTTCCAATCGCCATGTGGTATGCGTTATCACCGTAATACCGTCCAAGCCTTGACTAGTAACTTTAAAACTGTAGATAAAGGTTTATCTGTTTCGCTACACCACTTGTATATATGTTTGTTGCAATACATCTGCCCTCTTCTGTAGTATGAATTCAAGCTGCCGCACGCACAACCATCATTCATTTTATTTTGCTTCTAGTTTAATTTTGTGGAGCATGTGAATGATACTGGTTTGACTGTTTGCCCTGTTTTCCGTCTTACTATGCAGCTGGGTTTTTAAATTATTTCATACTGTCCTTACTGATTGTATGGAGTGTTTTCCCTAAGTAAAATAATAATTATGCCAGCACTCCAACTTTTATTTCCCAAAGATTTAGGGACCTACAGACAGCAGAGTGGACCTCAAGGATAGGGGTCCCTCGACTTGGCACGCAACCCCCTCCCCAGACATCCTGCCTTACATACCACTCACCCAACAGACCAACATCCTAAAAGAAAGTTTCTTCTAAGTCAGCGTTTGTATACCCTGTATATTTCATTGCTTATGATTGCTAGTCTCAATATACAGGTTATGTTTGTATGTGTCCTTAGACAATCTTAGTG